CATTGCCAGTCCATCTTGCCCTTCCCCTTGAAGCTGGTGGCATGTCTGCAGAGAACTGGATAACTCAGAAGTCCAAATGATGAGACTTTGCCATAGTCTTCATCCTCTTCTTTGCACAGAAACTCATCCATTCCTTCTGAACCTCTTCACAGATCTGTTCTCTCACTGTCATGAGGGTGCTCACCAGGGAGGAAGGGTAGCAGTGCAAGTTGAAAGCTTTCAAATTGTAAATTCCTTGGGGGTTTAGGTATGCATTGTTTAGGCCAAATAGCAGGGTAGACAGCCTTTGCAGAGCACCTCAAAGTGATGCTGCATTGCATCTGTGCCCTGCCTGTTGTGAACATGTTAAAGTAATCTGGGCTGTAACACAGGAATTATTGTTCATGGTAATCTCACAACACATTAATCAAGTAGAGGGTTCCTTTGGGAGGGTAGGGCTTGTTTCACCATTTTACTTGGAATATATGAATGTAAATACAGATTTACAGTGCAGCCAGTGCAGTCAAACTGTGTTGAAGTGCAGACTGGAAGAATATAAAATGCACCCTGTGTATAGGCAGTGAAATCCTAGATAATGTCTATTCTTCTCATATCTCAAGTGAACACAGGTCCACTAAAGAATACAGACTGTTATAACCTCCTGTAGTAAAGTGGAATCACTTAAATATATATCTGCACGTTCTCATTACACCCATTTCACAGAGGCAAGATTTCAGTGGTTGCCAGATGTTATACTCTCCTGAGTTTCCAAGCTTGGGGGTTTTTTGCATTTGTATATTCTTCCCCCTTTCTGCACTCCATCGTTTTGGAAAGTTATGCTGGTGGTTTGATTGTTTTGAACTTGCAAACCCCTGACACTATTCTTGCAGTTCCCTGAGATACAAAAGTAAATGCAGCCCTGGAAACCCCAGGGGATCTCTTTGGATGGGCAATGATGAGGGGAAGATGGTACAAAAATGTCTTTGGAAAGTCTTTACAGCTCTTTGTGTTGCTCTTCCATGAGGAAAATTTGTATGTCATGGTCTGTGAGGCTCTATGGGTGCATAACTGAAGCTGCTAGATTTACACAACTAGTTTTTAGCCCTACTTCTGTGTTAAAACAGACCTTTACAGTGCCTTTTTATGTGGAAATCTTGTAGCTGGGTGTGGTGGGGAAGCCGCTTGGTGACTCATACTGCAGGGAATTCCCTGATGAATTAGAGTATTTTTACTTCTGGACTTGTGCGCAGTTTCCTTCAACGCCAGAGCGAGCTGCCGATAAGAGCAGGCTACAAAGGCCCATTCACTGTTCAGCTACCCCATGTTAAAACAGGGTGTTTATGCTTTGCAGAGCTGAAAATCCACCCCCCATAACACGTAGGTTCACAGCATTTTCATCATTAGCTATCCCAGGTGCTCCGAGTTTCACAGCAACGAAGAAAACAAGGCAGAAGGGGACAGTGGTGAAGCACACACGGAGCACGGATGGCTATAAATAACAGGGATGGGTCTGTAAATGTCAGGCTTCCTGACAAACCTGGTGTCTTCAGCCGGCAATAGGGCTGATGGCCACCTGTCAGCACAGCCTCCAGCCTGTGCGGAATGGGCGGGAGCGGCTTCTCCTTCCCACAGCACTGCCACTGCCTCTGCGGAGGAGGAGGGATTTGAGGGTCATTCATGCAGCCCGTTCGTGGTTCCCCCTTGAAGCCTTGGCTCTGTTGGGTTAATGGCTGCTGCTGCTGGCAGCGAGGGAGCGGGGACTCTGCAGGGCTTCTGCCCTGCCCTTCTGTGCACAGATGTTTTGGGTTTATTCCCATTTGGTAAAAACGCCCTCACAAAACATAAGACACCAGTATAATACCTTGACCCAACTTCTTAGCTATATAAAGAACTGTCTTTCTCTACAAAATATTGCACTATAAATCTTAAAAACACCAAAACAAAGCCAGGCATTTGGTTTGGAGAAGACACTTCTTATTACTTCGTAAAAGTAAATAGTGAAATGAAAGGGAATGAAATAAGACCTTTGGAAGAGCCGTTTTCTCCCTTTTCCTTCATGCCTCCTCCTCTCCTTCCTCTCTTGACTCCATCTCCCCCGCTCCCTGTATAACAACTGCCCATTTGGGTACGGTAATTCCAGAGAGCAAACTTTAACGGGAATGCCTGAAATGTGTCTGCTTCAGCTTTGTGTTATGTCTGTAATTTGAATTATTTGCATTTTGGAAAGGTATAAATTGCTCTGGTGTACTTGGGTTGGCTGGCGGCCAGGAGGGAGTTGCCTCGGGCCCAGACCAGGCGTGTTGCTGCAGATGTGGCAGGCGTACAATGGAAACTTTTGTGGGCGAGCAGCCCTCACTTCTCCAGCACACGCTGACAGGAGGCGGCATCCCGCCTGCTCGCCAGGCTCCCCGGCGGATGGGCACTGGGGCAAAACCATTTTCTCTGGTATAGGCAGACTATCTTGAGGCTTAGGGCTCCCACAAACCTTTCCAAGGCCATTATTCCTTTTTTTTTCCTTTTTTTTTTTTTTAAATTTCAGCTGAACTGTTTAAACCTGAAAAACATGTTTACTGTAAAAGGTTGACGTAGTGGTCTAAGGTTTCCCTCCTGGAGCTGGTCCCAGTCCGTGGGCGTTGAGATTTCCCTCTTGGTTCACCAGACGTAATATGAGGAATTGTCTTTCTTTCTTTCTTTTTTTGGTTTTTTTTTTGTCTCTTGCTTCATAACAACTTTTGCTCCCTGTGTTTTTGTAAATGAAATGCCATTAGCTGTTAATGAGTTGTCTATTCCCTACTTCTTCCCTGTCTTCCCTTTCCCCTCTGTTGCTGATGGTCTGGACAGTCCCAGGGGAATTTCTTGGAGGAAAACCTGTATTGTTCTTACTAGCTTCCAAAGACAAGCCACGACTCTGGATTGTTATTTTCCTAATAGTTTAGATTACAGCATCTAAAATATTTGTGAACAAACTCCTTTTGTCATCATAAAAATTTCAAAAATGCATAGAGGCAGTGCTGCATGAAGTAATTGAAAGATTAGCTGGAAATTGAGTAATTTTGAATTTTCCTGAAGTATCGGCAGGAAATAAAAAACAGAAACCTGAATCAGATCATTCGTCTTGCAAAGCACAAATTAAACATAGCAAAAAACCTGAACTTCTGGTAATCCATTTACAAAGGCAAATTGAACACATGTTAACTACTAGTCTGGACGTCTGTAGGTTTTAAAAAAAAAAACAGCCCAGCAAACCCCTTCCAAAGCAGAAGTTCCTGCATTTCACAGAATGTGTGATCATGTCGGCGTTGTGTTGCTTTTACAACTGATTGAATTAATTTGGGGCAGGGAGGGAGTGCTACAGAGGCTGGAGATAAAGGAGGCTGCTCCCAGACTGGGGATGTGTCCTGGCTTGCTGAATTTTGGTCAGGGTTTTCTACTGACAGCCCAGGGGAAGCATCTGTTGGATAAATTGTTAAGTGATCGCTAGTCCTCCCAAGAAGCCTACTTTAATTCTGGCACTCTCCAAAGGCACTGTTTAGGAGTCTCAAGCACAGTCCGGCTGCTCCTTCTCTCCCTGCAGCTGAACGTGGCAGTACCAATAAGAGGGATTCCTCTTCCAGCATCACAAGTTAAAATATAGGAAGAAACTGAGGGAAGATCTGCTAACTGTTTTCCTGTGGAAAGACCTGCCAAATCCACTGTGGTATTTGTGCTGCAGCCTTCATGTTGTGCTTCTTTCCATACATTAAAAAGAAGGGGGTTTTGGGCATTAAAGCAATCGCCAGGGATAGTCCCTCAGCAGCATTCCTTTCACAGTAGGACAGCTGTACACAAAAATATTGTTTACAGACATTTGTAATAAATCAGGCAGTTCGAAATGCGTCACCTCCATCCTGGCCGTGAAAGCAAAGAGAAAAGAAAAAGTGCATTCACTCTTTCACCTTTCACAGGGCTGTTTTTCTAGGGCAGGCCCACGTCCGTGTGATGAAGTTCAAAATAACTAATATTTGCATTTGCATGTCCCAATGCTGCAATAAATGTACAAAAGAGATGACATAAAGTCTCAGTTTCCCCTTCGTTTCGATAACATCTGACTGTGGTGGGACTCATGAAGCTTCATGTGTCTCCACTGCCCAGCTTATCCAGCAGTCTGCTTATGGCCTTTCATTTGTGTTTTTCTAGGCCTGCAGAGTGGAAACCTTACATTCTGTATTATTTTTCTCGTTTCTTTCCTATTGAGGTCTGAAGATAAAAGGAAATAAAACCCCACCTTGTTTTTCAGTGATTTCTGTATCAATAATGTGCTGGAAAAATGACCAAAGTCAGTTTCTTCCAAAAGACATGTTCCTAGAAAAAGTTATAGTTGTGGCTTAAATCTATATTTGCTTGAGAACAGAAATTCAGTAAATTTGGAGGACTCAACACACCACTAAAAGCACCTCCAGAAGTGGGACCACCTTAGCTGAACAAAACCAACTTCAAAATGAAGTCTAAAGCTATGTTTCCCAGCCTATGACATTGCCTTTTGACCCAAGTAGCAGAATTATGACAAGCCAGACTAGGAGTGTACTAAAATCAAATCCTGCATGGCTGAATAGCTTCCTTCATACTACCTTTCTTTTTGCATTGTTTAATATTAATATTGAATATGACTTACAGCCTAGATAGTGTTCAAAAGCCATCATAGCTGGCAGTATTGTTGTCTGCAAGCTCAGCGAATTGAGGTGTAGAACAGTTGCATATTTTGTCCAGGCTAGTGGCAGAGCAGACTCCCAGTGGCTCTCCCCCTATCACAGTATCATGCACTCTGGATTGTGTTTCTTCCCTTCAGAAAAGCTGAAGGGGCTTCTGTCACAGGTTACCCAGATGGTCTCTTAGTTGGGCAACACTGGGAATTGTGTTGTGAGAGCTCCTTTTCACACATGCAGTGCCCCTTCAAAGAGATGGTTTTTGCAAAAGTTGCTCCTTTCTTGGCTGGGGAAGGGAAAAAAGGACAGAACTAGGTATCTTTTTCTTTTGTCTTTTAGATGGTCACCATGTGTGGGAAATGGAAGCCAAAACCGACAAAGAAATGTGCAAGCCAGTAAGTCTGCCTTAAATATTTTAACATCAAGATGAAAAATATATACTGCCTTCTCCAGCACTGTTACTAAAGAGGGATTTCCAAGGCTTTGGCACTGAAACAGAACAAGTACTTAGGCCTCCCCTCCTGGAAATCTTTCTTTAACGCGAGCATGGGGTAAAAAGCCTTCGCTGGAAGCTGTCCCGAAAGTAGAAGAGACCATTTGGAAAATATTTTTTCATTGTCCAGGATGGGCCAGTTCCATCTGCTCATCTTTTGTCTTGCTGGGTCAGTTCTTTCCACTGCTCCCAGAGCAATTTCTGATCATTTTCCTTGGCTCTCCTCTATCTTCAGCAGAAGAAACATGAGTCCCCTCACAGGAGATCAGCTCCACATTGGAGAAGCGTGGCTCCTTCAGCCATGACTCTTAAGTGGGAAGTATGTCCACTATTCCACGTCTGCAGGAATATACAATACTTGCAAACCTGCAGGCAAACAATTTAAAGATCTCATCTGAATTCAGGAAAAATGCTAGGAAAAGCATTCCCTGTTATTCTTTCAAAAAGCGCCAAGGGAGGTTTTGATGGTCGTAGCAGATTCACTGTGCATATGTGTAAGCTGATGCTGTAGAAGCTAAGTCATTCCTTAGCCCCATGCTGGAGCATTTGGTTTCTGATAGTGGAAGATCATCTACACGTTCTCCAGCACTTTTTCATGTTGCACTAGATGTGCTTGCAACAGTGAACCTCCCATCCACAGAAGCTAGCATGCTTAAAACTTCCTGAGTTGTTATATGAAAATATATTTCACTGTGGAAAATGGAAATATTTGAGTAATGCTGTCCTAACAGCTTTCAAAGGAAATATTGCTAGGTTCAGATATATCAGGGATGGCCTGCCAACCGAGCCGTTGTGCTTTCTCCTGCTGAGCTTGAGACCACAATTTGATTGCGATCCCAGATTCTTGACAGAGGCAGGCAGGATAGAGCCTTGTCCATATGCAGTATCATATTTGCTGTCCAAAGGGAAGAAGTGAAGGCTAGTGATTTTGTAAAGATCCGAGCCATGCTAAAATAACTTCCTTTTCAAGGATTTCTAGAATCCTTGGCATGGACACTGGGGTTGGTGGGAAGCCATCCTTGCCCACAAAGCCCACCAGCTTCCCTTCAGAGAGTGTTTCTCTTCCTTCCTGGGGTTAACTTTTCAATGCTATTGTACAGCTAGGCTGCCTTAGTTGTGCCCTGACTTTCTGATTTGTTGCTTTTGCAGAATTCATTGGTGGTTGAGATACCACCTTTCCGCAATCAGAGAATTACCAGCCCTGTTCAGGTCAACTTCTATGTCTGCAACGGGAAAAGAAAGAGGAGCCAGTACCAGCTTTTCACCTATCTTCCTGCTAATGGTAACAAAACAAATTCCTTATCTCTGCTAGAAAAAGTGAGAGATAATGATGATATATGGTTCTATTAATTCTTCAGTAATTTGAATATTTTGGAAGTATATCTGATGCTATGAGAGTGAGAATAAATCCAGGAGAGCTGCCTTTGTCTCTGCTGCTCACACAAGAGACCGTCTCTGCAGGTTGTTTCCATTTGCATTGGTGGCAGAGACCTGTTGAAACAAGGACTTCTGCTTTTGGGAGCTGAAGAGCCACAGTATAAACTCAGATGTTTGTGAAGGCACTGAGCTCTCTGCTAAGCTGCTGTCAACTCTTGGTCTGACTTTCTAACCCCAGAGGTAAATCGCATTCAAATAACATTTCTGAATTCACACCACAATATTTTAAGCGTGCTGGGCTTTGAGCTGGAGGTAGTGTATGGATTCTTCCTTGCAGTTATCTTGCACCTTGCTGCCTTGCACAGTGTGAAAATTGAGATGGACAGTGTGGGGAGAGATGGGAGTGCTCTGTGTAAAATGCTTCATGGATGGGAAATGTTCAGAATTTTTTTTTTTTTTTTTTTTTTTTTTTATATTGGTAGCTGTGAAGTGACAATAAAGTTACTTATTATAGCTGAATTCCAAGCAGGCTTGTATGAAGATTTTAATAGCTAGTAAATTTAGAATTTATTGTTGATTATTATTTGAAATGGCCCTTATACTGAAAACACTCTTTGGGGGAAAAGTAGGAACAGAAGGAGGATGGTTGCTTTGTTGTTGTTGTTTGGGAAGGAAGAGGAATTAGAAAAATTATTAAGATACGCTTTTTTGTATACTTTCCTAACAAAAATAAGTCTTCTGTGGGAAATGCTAACAAAGCAATATTCAAGTCATGTCACATGACTTGAAGAGACATGCTAACTTTTTGTAGGTGAAAACCCATAAAGTACACATTTGGAGTTTCACCCAGTTAGCATGCGTGCACTTTTATCAGGACATAAATTAAAAATAAGATTACAGGAAACCTGACATGGCAACGGAGTGCTTATTGCATATGCTTCACGGAATCAGCCTACTTATGCAAACTTCATTCCCAGTGGGGATGTCTGTGTATATTTAAAGACTGTTCATCTCTTAAATTGGAAAGAAAGAGTTGTTATTCTCTTTCACAACACTTTTCAGCAACAAAAATCAGTTGTGGAGGCAATCAGGTATTGCCTTGTCACCCAAGTTACCTTCATAATTATTTCAGATTCAGGCCTCTTAAGTGCTGTTTATTAATCAGCATCTTCCCTCCAGCCTTTACATAGGCCCTTTTTTACCTCTGTATTCTAAACCCTGGGAATAGTGTGCACTCCTGCATAGTTAGTTTATGCTGTCACTATTCTATGTTTAGAACATTTGATGTTTCATTTGATGTTTCATTTGATGTGAAGAGATGGGAATACATACCTAGTGACAGCAGACCTAGTGACAACAGAGAACCAGCCTCAGCTTTATTCTGCAACAGCATCTTTAATTATGATAATTGTTGGAAACATTACGAATTTTGTTTACATTACATTACATTAGGATTTGCTGTACCAATTTAAATTCAAGTGAAATCTTTTCATTTCAGTATAAGGAAACCTGAAAGAAAAAATGTAACACCAGGGTGGAGTAAAGGAAAGTAGGTATTCCTAGTGAATATTCTTTCCATTCCTGTGTGGTTCTCCATTCACATTCTCTTAACACATACATACATGTACATATAGGTAATTGAAGAACATGTTGTGTTCTTTGTAGCCTCCCCTGTAACAGTGGTAAAAGTGAATGTGGTTCTGCAATCATCAGAATTAATAGTATAGTATGTTTTTATTATGCTTGTGCTGTAATGCCTGTGTTACAGCTGTAAGGTTTTGTCCTTCTGTGGCTGGTATTTTTTTACATCATGCCTTTCAAAGATAGATACAACCACCTCAACTATATATTTTGAAACCATGTACAGTAATTTAATCAGTCACTATGCTGCTGTATTTCTAGGAGTCATTTCAGGCTTAATTTGATTTCAATCACAACATTCTTTTACTGTTTCAAGGCATTGTGGAAAACCAAAGTTTAGGTCATGCAGAAAAAATTACCCGAGTCAAGAACCACTGGGTGATCAGAAAAAATGTAGATGAGATAAGCATGACTTTGGCCCAGGTAATGCTTTGTCTGTTGTTCAAACAAATCCCACAAACAGAGAACGTGTAGAGTTTTGACAAGCAAATGTCAGAGTGATCATGAAGTGTAAGATGTGGTTTTACACAAATCAGACAGTATCCTGTAATCTGCTTCTTCTTCTTCTTCTTCTTCTTCTTCTTCTTCTTCTTCTTCTTCTTCTTCTTCTGTGCTTTAGGACTAATCAAATGCTATATTTCAGTGCCTACTGTAGTTTTGCAGGTAGTTCTGTGTGAGGCAGCTTTTAAAACTTCATGATGCACATCAGACATATATTTTACAGCTCAACTGGACTGTGCCAAAGCAAAATACCAGATGTGGACTAAAGAATAAATATGGTGTGAGTCCCCTGGCTGTGCTGCTGGGGTGGGTGTGGGCACATGCAGACCAGTGGGAGAGCCATGGGCTCACTGTGCAGCTCCCACCCCCACTGCGGGGCAGTAGGAGCTCCTATTTCTCCTCATTCCCTAGGGGAAAAGAGCCAGTGGATCCAGGGACACGTGACCTCACTCATCCCACCTCCCATGGATGGTCCCATGGCATCTCCATGGAGCACAGCTCTGTGACATGCAGCCAGCACAAGCTGCCATCTCCAGCAGTGTTATTTCACCGCCACAGGGCTTCTCCCGTGCTGTGGAGATGTGGCAGGATTGTACCTTCCCTCTGTTAGCTCAAGTGTATGGCAGAGCAGGGACTTACATGGTGAAGATGAGTTTCTGCTTCAGTAATAAAAAGAAACTGCTGTAAAAATGAAAACCTTACTGTTCTGTAAATGTAAAGTTTAAATAACAAAGTAAAACAGAAAGTAGATGCTTCGCAAAAGGAGCCAAGATCTTGAAAACAGGCTTGCTTAAGTCTTTGGCTTGGGATAGACTGTAAACCTAAGTACTCATAATCCACTTTTCATTGAAATTTTGATTTACTGTTCTGCTAAATTTGAGCAACTTCTGAATCCTGTATTGTACAGAAATGACTGTAATGTCATTTTTTTTTAGTATTACTTCAATGATATGCATCACTGAGCAATTGCATATCAGTTTTGTCCTGGAGCCTGCAGGTTGTAGTCTCTTGAGACTCCTCCACAGACATGCCTGGCACAGAAATATAAGTAGTTTCCATACCATTCTGACACAGGTGAATTCCTGCAGCTCATATGGTAAGTACTGACACATTTTGCATTGCCACATCCCACCAGAATTTGAGAAGGAGGGCCCTGGACCAGGCACTACAGTCAGGAGTCTGAGCAGAGCACAATGAGCAGACCTTTGGATGTTCAGCTTTTAAAGTGCCTCCACTGCTGTGGCTCTGCACAGGGGGGCTCTGCAGGTCCGTTTTGTGCAGCAGAACATTTTGGAAAACCGTGTTTCAGGGTTAAACTAACCCAGAGAAGTGTGTGCTGTGGTTCCAAATCCTGTGTTTTCATCTAAGAAAGCTGAAGGACTTCTCCTGCTCTGAAGACTTTAAACAATGAATGATAAGGATTAGATGTATGTCTGTTTAGATTTCTTTTAAATACAAAAAATAGAGGAAATAGGTACAAAAAATAGAGGAAATGTGTTCAAGAACTTATTTTTTCTAGGTACAAAAAATAGAGGAAATGTGTTCAAGAACTTATTTTTTCAGATAGGAGCGAGTGTTCTCTGTGTATTCTGTTATTCAACAAGTATTGATATCAAGAATGTTGAACACAGGAAAGTTTTTCTATGAATTTTATTTAGACAAGAAGTGATATTTGACGAACCAAAGACAGGCTAGTTTGTCTAGGAAATACTTAATAAAAAGGAAAAAGGAAAGTTGGTGTGTTTCTTCTACTGGAATGAAAAATACGCTTTTGCAGAGTTGATGAAGTATTTCCAGTTTCTGTTTCTGTCAGGCTTCTTAATTGTCAAAGCATTATTAAACGATCATTTCATTGCTTCTAGTATTTATTAAAATGGTGTTGATATTCTGGGTAACTGTTACTCTGAGATGCGTTTCACTACCCACGGGGCCAGATTTCCAACTGCACAGCCATCACTCACAGAGATAATTTTTCTGCAATTCCTTTTGCCTCCTTGCAGTTATCTGCACAAGTCTCTGAGATGTTGAGCTCCTCTGAAAACCTGGCCACAGTGACTTGGTGGGGATGGCAGTCCTTTGAATCTGTGGGTGTGGAGTCGTGCTGAGAACCTGCCTGTGGTGATTAGATGTGTCTCAATATTGGGGTTTACAGCCCAGGGGCAAAGATGTGAAGGTCCTGGCACTGTAGAATAGAATCATAGAATATCTCAAGTGGGAAGGGACCCATGAGGATTATTAAGCCCAACTCCCCACTCCTCGCAGGACCACCCCTTGATGCACATCTGAAAAAGCTGAGTGCTGCCCAGGGCACATTGTTGTCAGCATTCCCCTGACTTACTGCCTCTGCTCTAAAATTATCCCCCTTCTAAAATTATCACCATACAGATGGGTGCAACAACACTTCTGTCATGGCTTCGTTGAGCAGCCATGCCTCTGTTTCACCTCAGTCCTTCCACCCACACCTCTCTCTAAGTTAAAAGATGACATCAGCCCCCTTAGCAGAAATGAGGATGCAAAGTGTTACCACTCTAATGTGACACAGCATGTGGCTTGTGCTGATTGTCTCCTGACACCTCTCACCTCTCAGTATTTGTTGAATTTTCCTAATTGAAGTTGGCAAAATTATTAGCCTAGTCCTTTATGCAAAACAATGGTGATTTGGGGGCTGCTGGGGGAGCAGGGCCAAATGCTGGGACCGTAACCGGTGGCTGGTGCAATACGACCTCAGCAGTGCCTCAACAAGGGGAGGGGATGGAGCGTGGC